GCACGCTCCGATCCACGAAACGCGCAAAGCTTAACAAGGGAAACTTTCAAATGGCATCAACGCGGACATCAAAGTCAGGGGCGAGAAACTTGAGACAGTCGACAGCTTCAAATACCTTGGATCAATCGTCTCAGATGAAGGCTCAAGACCAGAAATTCCAGAATCGTGCAAACAACAGCTGCACTGTCAAAACTAAAGCATATTTGGAAGGACAGAATCATCACGCCCAACCTGTCCCCGAGGTTTGATGCACCCCGCATAATTTAGCAAAATTTGAAATTTTTTTCATAATTTCTGATTATTTTCCTTTATCATTCTTTCCTATTTAAATTAACAGAATCGCATAATTTCATCTCTTTGGGCTCACTTTGCATAATTTCAGAATTTTTCTTGCATAAAACGACTGGGATAGCCCAACTCGAAAATCAGACTAATATGCGCCCACTGGTCATCTCAATATTTTAATACGCCTGCGGGTCGTGGACACTGACAGCACAATTGGAGAAAAGGATTCAGATAATAGAGATGAGATGTTACCACAAACTCCTTGACATCTAATACAAAGACCATATTTCAAATGCTGAGGTCAAGGAACAGAGAATTACCAACGCTGCGGGGCAGCATGAAGACCTACCAACCACAGTGAAGAGACGAAAATTAAAATGGTACAGGCATGTCACAAGATCAACAGGATTTGCCAAAACAATCCTACAAGGAACTGTACAAAGAAAGAGAAAGAGAGGAAGGCAGAGAAGGAGAAGGGAGGACAACATTACAGAGTGAACAGGACAGACGACGGGTGACAATCAGAGAAAAGCAGAGGACAAAGAGAAATGGCGACAGCTGGTTGCCAGATGCAGTGGTGCCCCCATGGTTGCCCCAACTACGGGATAGAAGAAGAAGATATTATATTTATACAAAGGCAGGAGGAACAGCGAGAGAGAGAGAGAGAGAGAGAGAGAGAGAGAGAGAGAGAGAGAGAGAGATCATAATATAGAGGAGGGGGGGAGACTGGAAACGCTGACAAACAGGCAATTAACAGACTCACGGAAAGAACAATTCTCAAGACATAAAAAAAGAGGGGCCAGAATGATCTTCACGGGATAAGGTTTTTTGTTTATGCTTTTGATCCACCAAGAATTGAAGGTCTCTCCTTCCTTGAACTATTACTATCTTTGTGTTTGAATCCTCACAGCAGAGCATGTTGGCCGGATTGCTTTGAAATTTCTACATCTAGATTTCTAGTTAAAGCAGAATACAACAACAACAAAAAAATTATATACAGATCAATATAAAAGCAAAAGAAGAATGTTGCCTACCCAAGTTAACATTCACAATCACAGATTAATTCAAAGAACAAGCAAACTGAAAGAAACGAATGTATGTTTTGTGCCCATGTATACAGACACAGTCAGTGGGTTATCAGTTAGTAATGGGATTAGTTATTAATAGCCATAACAACGGATTAATTAAACACAGAAAAACAGTAGATATATAATATAGCCATCAGGCCTAACCCCC